AAAAAAAAAATAAATCGACAGTTGACAGTTTAGGGTTAGTAAAAATGGAGCGTTACACAATAGAACAACGTGTCTTCATTATTGAACAATATTTCAAAAATAATGACTCCTTGGCGGCCGCAGTTCGAAAATTTCGTACAAAATATGATCGGAATACTGTTTTAACTTCGTCAACTGTGAAGAGATTAATTGAAAAATTTTGGGAGACAGGATCCGTTGGAAACACCAAACACACTGGTCGTCCAAAAACAAGCCGTTCAAATGTCAATATCGGAGCAGTGCGTGCGAGTGTCGGCGACAATCCAGGAACCTCAATTCGGCGTCGTGGACAAGAATTACAAATTTCAAGAAGCTCTCTACAGCGTATACTCACTAAAGATCTGTGCCTACATGCTTACAAAATTCAATTAACACAACAACTGAAGCCCAATGACCATGCACAGCGTAGAGAGTTTGTTGAATGGATTATTGAGCATCAACAAATGAATGCTGATTTTTCGAGCAAAATCATCCTAAGCGACGAAGCACATTTTCACCTTGATGGGTTTGTTAATCGCCAAAACTGCCGCTTTTGGGGTTCTGAAAACCCACATGTGATTGTCGAAAAACAAATGCATCCACAACGTGTCACTGTTTGGTGTGGATTTTGGGCTGGAGGCGTAATTGGACCATACTTTTTTGAAAATGAGGCTGGTCAAGCAGTGACTGTTACTGGTGCTCGATATCGCGACATGTTAACACAGTTCTTTTTGCCGAAATTGAATGATATTTATGTGGCCAATATGTGGTTTCAACAAGACGGTGCCACATGTCATACAGCCCGTGAAACACTTCAATTACTGCATGAGACATTTCCAGGTCGCGTACTCTCTCGTTTCGGTGATCAAAATTGGCCCCCTAGATCGTGTGAATTAACACCATTAGATTTCTTTTTATGGGGTTATTTAAAATCACAGGTGTACGTCAACAAGCCCACAACCACGCGTGCATTAAAGGAGGAGATTCAACGTTGCATTGCCTGATGTGTTATTTCATAAATAACCTTATCCTACGTACTTTATGAACAATAAAAAAATTACAATCAAAAGACTAAAAACTGTGTTTTCTATTTAATTCAAATCTTGCGTTAATTTTGAGACACCTTTACTTTATTAATATTTTAACAGACGGAACCAAATAGACCAACTTTTGCCTAATTTAGACCTTGAGAGGTACGTCACACCGGAGATTATGAAGATGTTCGAACATCTATATAATAGAAAAGAATGTACTCCGCAGGACATCTTCCGGGTACTGTCGGTTTACACATGGGCGGATGGATGATGCTAACTTAGATGTATACGATTAGATGATTGAGTAGGCCGCCGGAAGCAATATAACCACGCTTCGTGCATTCGGAGCTGCAATTGAAATATCTGCCTGGAATCCACTACCTTATATCAGGTGCCGTCCCATATATTATCATACGGAAAACTTCTACGCTTCTTTCAATCCATATTAATTAAAAACTTGTTTTCATAAACGGTATCCCATAGTATATAAAGAGGATAAATGCGCTTTTAAGGAACATAGTTTTCTTAGATCAATCACTAATCACAATGACTTTACCACATCTTGTTTATGAAATGTGCAATGCCGTATGGCAAAATGTAAGTAATAATTTCATACTCGTTTAATTTAAACTTTTATTTTTATATTATTTTCAGGCTATAATACATGAAGTTTCGGACTTTGAAATGACGTTAATGCAGATATGGGGGTGGGAAATTATTTTTTGCGGCCCCTTTTATGAGGGGTCGCTACGGATTTCAAGAGATCCAGATTACGACAACAGGCTGTATGTATGCTGTAGGTTATTGATTTTTTATTTACTTTGAAAAAGTGGATTTTACATTTTTACTGTTTCAGTAAAGCCGCCCCAGCATCACAGACGTTTTGAGAAATAGCGTTTGGGAAGTTATTGATTTTTATTTACTTTTGTAATTTCACATTTTCATTTTTTCAGTCATCAAATCAATAATTTTAGTTAGTCATAAGTTAATTTTATATCATTCCTATTTTAGTATTAAATATATCCCATATATTATCATAAGGAAAACTTCTACGCTTCTTTCAATCGATATTACTTAAAAACCTCTTTACATAAACGGTATCCCATAGTATATATAAAGAGGACAAATGCACTTGTAAGCTGCATAGCTGTGCTACAAATTTTTTTGAAATGCCGTCTATACAGCTATCAATGACACCGTATGATGTGATTGGGATAATTTTCACAATATGTTCCCTCGTGTGTGCAAAATGTAAGTAATATTTTATTGATCATTATTCTTTCCGAATTGTAATAATACATAGTGTCCTTTCAATTTACAGCCCTCCGCTTCCGTAACGACCGCGAAGGATTTAGAGGACATTATTCTCTATGAGGGGGGTGATGTCCTCTATTGTAGGCCGATCCCCGAAAGACTATGTAGTAGCTGTGTTCAATAAAGAAAAGTTATAGGTACTGCAGCAGTTTTCAAACCCATTTACAGCGCAAAAATATCTTTGACATGTACTTACAAGGGAAGTGTCACAACTGTGTCTCACCGATTTCGATGCAATTTGGTACAGTCATAGAATGGGCCAAAATAAGGTTCGTACATTTTTTTATACGTGCGGTAAAAGCCCCTGGGGCGAGTTATAGGGGTTGAAAGTTTGGAGAAAAAGTACGTTTTCACTTATATTTTAAAAATTTTTTTTGGCATCAAAATTTGGTAAATTGTAACTGATATTCATTTTAAAAGAGCTTTCTTTTGATGTATCACACANCCATTATTGTTAATGAAAATATTATTATTTTGGCCTCCTGAACGTACATTTACAATTTGGCCCATTACTTATGAATCACCCTGTATAGTGCTAAAAGAAAACAATATGAGAGCATCAACATTATAATAGTTCCGATAAACCACGACGTTCAACGGCATTGAACGTTAATGTTTGCAAACTAAAATACTCACACAATAACATATATGGATCCATTAACATTCAATTCACAATATGAAAATACAATCTTTAACAACAGCCAGGAACATTTAAAACAAATTTGGGTAACGTATAATCTTAGAAAGGTAGATTATCCTTTACAAGCAGATAGTTACAACTGTGGAGTCTTTGGTCTGTCATTTTATTAACTGTATATTATCAAATAAAGCATTTGAAATACTAAATGCAGAAACATTTCTTCCCAGGCAATACGGAGAGATCTATTGACTCAGATAATGAATCTATTCCAGAAAGACTACAAACCGATGTTAACATGGATACAAATGAATACAGACAAACACCCAGTAAAAACATACCACACAATTGGTGACAATGTAGTCACCAAATCGACAAACGAACATTGCCATCAATCCAGAAGATAAGCTCCAATGAATGGCTCTTATTGACACAAACGGAAGAACACATCGTAACAAGATGCGAAGAAAGAGAAGAAAATCTAGTAATAATGGGACCACATCTCATTCAAATTTCTCAGGAATGTGAAGTGAAATGGAAACAGGGGATTCTTAAAACCCATTCGAAGGCCCTCCAGAATAGGGTTTCCAGATTAACAAAATCAATGTAAGCAAAACTGAGGAAAAAATGCCCCAGGAAAATGTGAAAAATTTTACATCAAAAATTAATATTATTAGTGGGGTAAAATCTACTGATATACAACCACATTCGTCTGCAAACGTTGGAAGATCTAGTTCTAAAGTTAATATTATTAAAAATATCTGCATTCAACCTCCTTGTAATGAAACAAAAGCAATTAATTGTGGTCGTATATCACAAACTCCAACTATTCTACAAAATTTGTTAACAAAATTTGAAAACAACATGTATATCTGAGGAATGCAATCCGCCCTGTTAACCATTTTCAGTGACGAACAAGAGAATGTAATACAAGTATTTAAACATGAAATTGAATTCATAAAATACAATTTAAGTACATCTTTGAAGCATTTACAAAAATCTGTTTGTGGCAATGTAGTGATGAGAAGAAAATTCAGTTGTGTACTTACTACCTCTGAAGATTTACCGCAACTAAAAAAGATAAAGTATTTCATAACTGAATTGCAACTAACTTTGGCTCCTATAAAGCGGATTATATCTAATTTAGATGATTGATAAATGTAATGTATATGTATGTATGTATTCTCTGAATTATATTGTATATTATATGTATATTTTATATATTGAGCTTAAAAAATCGTTTCCCCCAACTCACCGGTTATATATAGATATCTTCCAATCAATTTGAGTAGTAAGTAAGTCCTGAATCTTCGAGCAAGGAAGCCAACAATTAACCAAATAGAGATGTGGTAAGTTTTTTTTTTTTTCATTTAAGTAATTAATTCTCTAATCTCTTCTTTTAGAACAGATCTTACAAGTAGAAGAAAGTTGGGATACAGAAAATGTTATACCTTTTCCAGTACCCTAAGTTTGTTGGATTTGTTTAAAATCAGGACATTGGCAAAAACGATGTCCTGTACCAAGGGTAATTTGTTGTACCAAGTGCTGGACACTTGGAACAACAATTGAAAAATGCACGAATTGCAGGAGCTGGAGGAGAACTGTAACTAATTGTTAGAAATAAATGCTTGATAGATGATGTGATAGTACTTGTAAATGATATTTAGTCAGACTAACTACCTAATTAACAATTAAAGACTAGTTAAAGTACATAACAGTTTGCAAATTTATTTTTTTCTTAATCAACTAATGGACTTGTATAATGGACTTTGGTTATAATTCAAAATACATTGAGGAGAAAGGGACATACAAAGAAAAATTAACAGAAATTTGCGAATTTGTTATTACCTAGAAAGAACCGCTCTAGATAATAAATTGCCTATACATGACGTCGACATTCGCAAATTGTATAGAAACGAAAAAAATTATATCTGTAACTGTTTAAATCATCCCACACTTAGGTACAACGCTTTATAAAACAGACAGGTTGGTGAACAAAAAAACAACAAAGAAATAACAAATAGGTTGAACTTCATTAGTGTTTCAATTTACTTTTTTTTTTTGAACTGTTTTAATTTGAACATTTTTAGTAATAAAAGCTCCAATGTTCGAGTTTGACTTGGAACCACTGTATAATACATTTTTTTGTTTTTTGTATAGTGGTATTAAAAATTATCACATATTTTATTGTAGTTTGATCGACATAATTTGTAATCATAAGTATGCAATTGTTGTTCTTTGATAATGTCGTCTATAATAGTTAATGTTGTTTTTCTAACATAACCTGGGTACACTAGACCTGTGTAAAAAAGTAATCTTAACTTTCGACAAAGAATCAGAATCTGACATTATTGCATTTATAGAGAACAAGCCTGTGTATTTTATGAGAAAGATCGGCTCATATCTTCTAGTTATAATGGTGGAATATACGTTATATTCTGAAATGTATCTTGAAAAGATCTCATCTCACAACCTCTTTGATCAAGATGAGTCCTTTTCAAACAATTATTATGGGCATTATGACTTGAAGCATGAGAACATCATGACATTGTTAACATTCAAAACATTGGGAGAAACTTATATTATTAATGTTTGGGTTCCAGTACACAGAAAAATTAGTAGACTTATAAGGAAGAATTACATTTTAGGAATTTTAATCAAAAAAGTGGATCCTAAAATACAGGTTGCACGTACACATGCGTTCCACAAAGAATTATTCAAACTTTCTGGCAATTATTCTTGGTAGAACGTTTGTGTACCTATCCATAGCACAGCCTTAAAAGACTGGTTCCTAACGACAAATCACAAATACGAAATCATTGAGATATCTCTGCAGCATATTATGAAAACAATATACAAATTTATGTTGGTCTGATAATAACCCCATGTGACAATAGAAAGTCAAATTCAGCATCAATTAATGTTTCGAAGTTAATTTGATAGACCTACTGAAGGAAGCTTCATTGAATATGAGACAAAATATTTACTATCAATGTAATGGTTCCATTTTAGTTGGACAATGATTGACTATCTTAAATCCATGAAATTTGCACGCAAGCTGAAACAAAAAGAAAAACATGTAATTAATTAATTAATTAATAAGTTTTGTAATTCATAATTCATAATTATTAGGAAAAATAATTATTGTGAATGCTTGCACAGAGTGACTTCCTAGTTGTTTCTGAAGTTAGTTTTAGTTTAATTAACACCAGCCGTGAAACCTGGAAAGTATGACTAAGTAGAAATAAGCGTTATTGTTATTTTTTGATATTTTCTTTTATCCCGTTAAGTCCAATTATTTTTTTCTTTTTACGTAGGCAACCTAAATATATCATTTTCGGAATATGTACATATATTGCAACTTAGCTGTTGAAAAAACCAGTAGAATTGGAGCACTAAATTACTAGTTACTAGTAGCAAATTAAATATCCATTGTGTTCCTAAACATTTTGTCTGTTCAGATTTAGTGCATCTCATTCAAATTATTTGAATCGAAAATACTTTTTTTTCTATTTTGAATAAAAATAGTATAAAGGGAAGTAAGTCTATTTTTTATTTTTTGTTCGTTAATGAGTTCAAAATGGATAGATTAAATACAATAGGGTCTAGGGTCTCGATTACTCGGGAGCGAATTAATCGGGATGCGGAATTTTATTATGTACAGAGTAATCGGGATTTATATTATCCGAGATAATTTCTTTTCCATTCGTTCTTGATAATGAACAGTGTACTGTATTCCAATATTATTGCTAGTTTTTGAGATACATGGTAACTACATCAACTTGATTTTGTGATTGATTTTAAGACTTTTTTTGAGACTCTTCCATATTCATGAACTTTATTTGCACATAAATCACGTAATTTGGTATTTTGGCGGAATTTAGATTTTTCTAGCATTAGACAGGTTAATTAGAATAAAACGGAGCTCTCATGGCACACTTAAATGGAAAATTAAACATTGAATTCTAAAAAATATTGACGTTTGAAATGTCACTTATGTGGTACCATTGGACTCAGAAAATTATTCAGATTTCAAAAATGTAATAATATACGGGATGTTCCATTTAAAAATCTAAAGTTAGCGTCACTTCCGGCGAAACTGGAATTGAAAAAAAAATTACTTGTATGTCAAAAAGTGTCTCTTATCATGTGTATAGGATGTCCCAAATTTGAACAATTATCTTCAAAACTAAAGGACATACGGGGGGTGTACCATGATGCTGTTACACCCGGTATATAGTAGAACGCCAGAATTTCAAGGACGTATTGCAAGGATTAAATTTGAAAATTCCAAGAAAGAAGACATTGGTAAAAAGAATTTGTGGACTCGCATGATGATAAAAAGCAAGTTATAAAAAAAATCAAGAGTGTAAATTACATATGCAGTACTGGTGATATTTGGTCCAACAAAAAGCGAAGCTTTCTAGCAGTTACCATTCCTTGGTTGGATAAAAACTTTATTCGTAAATCCGCTGCAATTGCATGTACGAGGTGAGTAACTTTTAACTTTTATAGTTGTATTTCGATATTTGTGTGGGAATATTGAAGTCGATCGAAATAAAAATAATTAAAATGTACTAGAGAAAATGAAAATCTCAATTATATATGTAATATTAATCAAAATTTTATTATTATTTTTATTTTAGATTTACAGGTACACACTCCTATAGAAACAGCGCAGAAATGTTGGAACACATAAATTTAAAATTTGGCTTAACCGAAAATAAACTTGTGGGAACTATAACAGATAATGGAAGCAATTTTGTTAAAGCTTTTAAAGTATTCGGAGAAAAAAACGAACTTGAAGATGATGAAGAAATCGCCAATCTTAACATACGCGATGTGCCGCACATACCTTAAATTTAATAGCTACCACTAATTATAAAAATTCCATTAAAACTATTCCAGCAGTTCGAACAAGGGTAAAAAATGCTTTTAATAAATGTGCCCAATTATGGAAAAAATCGAATCAACCAAAGAGTAATGAAACTATAAAAAAAAATTTAGGACATACACTGAGTTCTCCAGGGACAACTAGGTGGAACTCAACTTTTGATGGAGTTTCGCAGGTTCTCCAAGTAAAAGATAAAGTTTTAATTTTGCAACAAAAACTGAACTTTGAACTATTTTACTTGGAAGAATATTGTTTAGTAATGAAACCTTTGGCTTTAACGTTAGATTTGTTGCAAGGCGAAGAAAATGTTTCATTTGGATATTTGTTACCTAGCTTAATTTCGCTAACTTATTGTTCAAACAAAACTGAAATATGGAGAAGAATATTAGCTAGAATGTGCATCAAAAGCTTAAATTCTCGCTTTGCTAACATTTTAAATTTGGAATGGGATGATCCAATAATAGCTACAGCGCTTCTTCCCAAATTTAAGCTAAAGTGGTACAACGTAGTGAACATAGTCAAAAATCCAAAAAAAAAAACTATTAACATTAGTAAAAATTTTAATACATCGGCACAATTAAGACAATATAAAAAAATTCCATATATTCCTGGATTGACAGAATTACTTCGAATACATTTAAAACGAGATAATTTAACATTCATTAATATATACCCAAAAAAATTAAATAAATATTTCTCAACTTTAAACAAAAAAATTCTTAGAATCGGAACTTATATATTGCATTACTTGTAAAAATTGTAATGGTAAATACATTGGACAAACTAAACAATAAGGTAAGGAGTTTTTTGATAGTATCTTTATTATTTTTAAAAGAACACTTTACTTTTAGTCGTGTCTGAGGAAGGCAATTTTACCAAAACAGCTGTAGCACTGAAAAGTTAGTCTAATAAACTATTTAACACCGTTGACTCATACCTTTTTGATTTCAAACTAAGCAATGGTTAAAAAGTAGAGTTAATAAACACAAAAGTGACACTAAATTAAAAAAAAAACATCATGTGCTCTCTCAAAACACGCTGTTGACTATAACATATTTTTGATTTTGAAAACACAATAATTTTGGATAAGGAATCAAATTATCATAATAGATTATTCCTTGAAATGTTTCATATTAACGCTGAAAATAATATTGTAAATTTCAAGTTAGATACAGAAAATTTGAGTAAAATTTATTCATATCTTCTTCAAATAGATAAAAATAAAAATAAATGAATTTTATTTGTGACGTAATATGATTGACGAGTACTGATTTGTTTATTTCAATATAGTTGTCACTTTTCACGTTTTATTTTTCATAAACTTTTTACATCTCCAATTATTGTTATAAACGTTTTATGGTTTCATTTATGTTATTTCCTTAATGAGCATAATTTGTAAGTAATTAACTTTTATTGTAAGATTGTTATTTTTAGTTGCTTTTGTACTTTAGTTATACTCTGATGAAGATCGAAAAAAACGATCGAAATATTAGTATGAAATAAAATGGTTTCTTTTTATAAAAAAGATCGTCTCACGAATAATTATTTAATAAAAATTAAATATTCAAGAATTATTTCTAATGAACAAGATTTATGTGAAAGGTGAAAGATGCGCATCATTATTAAGAGAATTGAAAGCAAAAAAGAATTTGTTAAAGCACAACAGGAGGACGATTAATTTTGAAAATGGCAAGAACATCACTAATTGTAAGTAGAGATAAGTGTTATTGTTATTTCCCAATATGAGGGAATTTTTATATGAAACATTGTTTCCTATTTCGAATTAGTTGACTATTTTTTCACACAATAATTTGAATTCATGGGTTCCATTCAAACCTACAACATTATTCATTGATTATTTTATTCAAAAACAAATCAGTATCCGCGAAGATAGGCAGCCAACCTCATAGTAAAGACTAAGAATAAGCCTACAAACAAGAATCAAATTATTAGTTTTAGATTGAAATATTGTAAAACTTGTTAAGATTATCTGAACACTTCCTAGTTTATAGTTTTATAGTTGTAAACAACAATGTACTTGGAAATTACATTTCTCTATTGTAAGAGTAAAATTCGCACAATTTCGACTTGATTGTAATCTTGATTCATATTTCTGTACTTGAGAGCTAAAGGGGTGTAAGTCCACTTTTAACAATAATGAACTAATGCCCAAATAAGAATGCTCTAAAACCCAGTATTTCATTTTTAGTAACATTGTTTAAAAAAAACCTTATTATGAGGAAAAATTTTTCGATTATAAAGAAATAAGTACTTTCGTTTTTAGTCAAAATAGTCGTAAGTCCAAAATTAATCTAAGCATCAACATTTTGTGTATAGTGTGCTTTGAAAGATAATTGAAAAATTATTGACATATTAAGTCAAAAATTTATTTCTGTCTTCGAATCATTTTACTCTGATAATCATGGAAACTAATGCTGAAGCAACGTTTGTCAAATTAGTGTCAGATTCCTCATCTGACTCAGATATAGAAAGATTGATTGTTGATTTAAGTACAAAACCTAAATTAACGTGTAAAAAACGAATGAGGATGCAGATAATTGGAAGAAAAATATACGAAAAGTTAGGAGTCAAGGAGGAGAATTATATTTATCTACTAAAAACAAACTCATACTAAATAAAAACGTAAAAAGTCCATGTGGTTCGACCTGTACATATAAGTGCCGTTCGTTAATATCTGAAAATCAACGCCAGCAGATTCATGATTTTTGGAAAAAAAATCTTTCTTGAGAGTGCAAGAGAAAGTTGGTGGAAGATCAGAGTCTGTAAATTATTTTTTATAAACACTTTATCGATCGGCGAAAAATTTGTTTATAACGTTCTAAAAAAGAAGTCTACATGTAATATGTCAGTACCTGATCAAAAAGGTAGAAAAGTACTTATCAATAAAATTTCTGATGAAGTTATTGAAAAAATCACTAAGCACATTGACAGCTTATTCTCGAGAAAGGTCTGCTAAGAAGTATCTTGGAGATGGTTTAAATATTTAAAAAATGTATGGGTTATATAGCGAAGAACTTAGGAGAAAAGGTGAAGAACCAGCTAAGAAATGGCTTTTTAGAAAAATCTTCAACAAAATGTTTAATTTGTCGTTCCATTTACCAGACAACGACACATGTGATATGATATATATACTAGACTTGTACCACCTGTGGAAATCGTTAATTTTCCATCTTGTGATATTTGTGATCCTGGGAGATGAATTAAAAAATGATATCTATTATTTTGATCGATTATTTTAATGTAAAGCTTAAGGCTGATCTTAGTGCAGAAGAAAAGCCATTTCGAAAGAGCTTTACATTCAGATGATGCAAATCTAAGATCAAACCAAAGCTGGAAGAGGTGGTAATGAGATGGCTTCCTGTTTTTTTTAGTTTTGTTACTTATAGAAATCTCAAGGAATCAAAAAATGGAAACATTAACTGTAAATCTGTAAAAGTGCAATAAAGAAAACTAAACCATTTACAATTTTTACTTGCAATTATTGGATTAATTTTATTCGTAATTGTAAACAACCCCCATTTAATATATTCTCTATGGGTTTAGAAGATTTTAAAAATTTTAGTACATTTTACTCATCATTAACAGCACCAATCAAGTTAATGAAGAAAAAAAAGTAATGAAGGAGAATAGTTTAAATTATCCAGCGTTGTTTGGCTCTAAAAAAAACCTATATAAAACAATATGAAAATCTTTTAACCCTTCTTAAGTGGGTTCCTGAAGATATCAGAATTACTTTAGGAATTTACCTTAAGCTAAAGAAGCCCCAGAATTTCCTAATTATGATTAATAAATTAATAGGTTTTAAAGTATCAAATTTGTTGTAAAAAAAAATTATAATAAGTTTGCTCTTTTAAGACCAAATAATCATTTAATTCGTTAGAGCCAAAATGTAGTAAGTCCAATAATTTTGTAAAAATAAAGATAAAAATATGCTATTAATGAATATTCACAGACCATTAATATTAAAAAATACCGATATTTCCCAGCTTTATTTGTGAGGCAAGAGCATGAGAATTATTAATTATTTATTATTATTTGAAGTTAAAAATCAGATATTTTCGACTATTCTATGACTAAGTCATTTTGGACTTATGTCCCTTTAGCTCTCAGGTATAGAATTAATAACATTTATTTACTTCATGTCCTAGATAACTTTTTAGATATGCTACTTCTGGTGCCATTAATTGAGGTAGTAATTTAGACAATTCCACCAAAGTTCCAGTACAATGTTTTGTGGCCTACAAACAAAAATAATTATTGAAACATTTAGCAAAAATAAAATACTAATACTTCTGCATCTTCATATTTTTCATCAAAAAGGATTTCCATAATTTCCTGAACAAACTCTGGAATAAGTGCTTTGGCACTAAAATTTTCTACCAGTTGATTAATACCTTCCGCAATTGGTTTTATTAAATGTGAATTAACTTTCAATAATTGTACCAAACGAACTATTAAACTCTCATCATAGCTGTATGTTTTAATAAGAATACCAAAAATGTTAAAGATCTCATATCGCACTTCTTTGTTTGAGCTAATTGAACCACTTTCTAATGTAGGATAACACACTTCAGCTACTAAACTAAAAAAAATAATTAATTTAAAACATCTAATTTGAATTAAATGTTAAAATTTACTTTATTATTTGTTCCTCAACTACAGGGGGATCCCAAAATACATGAAGATCACATTGAAGTAACATGTTTATTGTAACCAAAGCATTTTTTGGGTTAAAACATTCATCTTCGTCAGATACCGACGATTTTTTTTTTCCACGCTAAAAAATTCCATTAATTAACAAACAATTCCTAATAATTTAAAAAAAAAACCTTCTTAATCCCAAGCAACATATTCTGAGAGGTATTCTTCGTATCCGCAGCCATNACCTTTTGGGTTCCGCCACCGTCGTATGGATTTCCTTTGCTTGATAAATTTAAAGATAAAAAGGTTAAATTGAGATTCAAACATAAATGGCTGACGGAATTTGAATGGCTTTGTTATTCAGCCAAAGAAAGAGGTGCATTTTGCAAATATTGTGTCCTTTTTGCTACCATCGGAGGGATCGGATGGCAGACATTGGGTGCATTAGTAAATTCAAAAATGGATAATTGGAAAAAAGCAAAAGAGGTAGGAGGTAGGTGTTATAATAATATTATAAGTATTATAAAACTGACTGATTGTTCTGTAACGGTGTCGCCGCGGTTCTTATTTCTTCTATTGACTAATTTAACTTTTTATTTTCAAATCATATCAATTCTGTTACATATTTTTTACTATCCGATTTTAATAAGTTAAACCGTGAATGAAATTAAAAATGAAAATTATTGTTATTAGTATTAATATTTAATTCGCTAAGATCCGATAATAAACAGCAAAATATATTGGAATAAAATTAGAAACGTCCTGGTTTAGCCGTGCGTTAGTTAAAAAAACTGTTTGACGTTTCGGATGCCATGTTGCAACCTTCTTCAGAAACAAGTTCGAAGTGCTTCCACTTTAGGTTGCAACATGGCATCCGAAACGTCAAACAGTTTTTTAACTAACGCACGGCTAAACCCGGAAGTTTCTAGTTTTATTTCAAATAACACCGGCCGTGAAAGCCTTCGAACTTACAGCAAAATATATTATTGATTGAAGCAAGCGTTCATTTTTAAAAACGGGCAAAAAATAGGAAAGAGTACATTTCTAGATCTTTATTAGTTTTACGAGAATTCTTTATATTTGTAGATATTTACTGCTCACCAGGTACCACAAAAATTGTGTTTTGGCATACGAAAATCGACAGAAAATACTAGAAGGAGTTCAAGATAATGTTATTGATTTATTAGATGAAAATAGAAAAACTCAAGCAAAACAAAATTGAGATAAAATTTTACCAATAATAGAGGCAATAATATTATGTGGTCGTCAAGAAATATCGCTTAGGGGACATAGAGATTTCGGAGAAATTAAAATAGATGAGAGCTCCATAAATGAAGGGAATTTTCGTGAAATCTTAAAGTATAGAGCAAAAGGAGATTCACATCTATAAAGGAGTTGATTAATAAATGTCGTAAATCGTAGGCCACATTAGCCATTCACCATCATCATGTAGTAAGCTAAAATTCATACAGGAACAGTTTCAAATGCCGCCGAAAGTTTTGATACAAGATGTTCCAACTAGATGGAACTCATCCTTTTATATGCTTGAACGACTCCTCGAACAAAAAAGACCTATCACTATTTTTGCAGTAGAACATGCTTCACTGAAAAATTTAACAATGGACGAATGGAATATTATTCAAGATATGTTAAAGATATTGGCCCCCTTCGAACAAATTACTAAGCAAATAAGTTCAAATGAATCCCTCATTTCTGAAGTATTGCCGTGCTTACGGATTATTAAGAAATATTTAGATGATTTACAATTAGAGTTTTCTAATCTGTATGTAGTTAATTTAAAGGAACGATTATTGGAAAATCTGAATAATCGCTTCAAGGGCTATGAAGAAAATAAACATTTTTTTGTCAGCACATTTCTTGATCCAAGATATAAAATAAATTTTTTTGAGGAAGATCAGTGCTTTATAGAAGATTACGAAAAACCAATGCAGGTTATTGAAACGACTGGAAATAGTTATGAAGTAATAGACGACAATAGCAATTTGAACGAATGTGAAGACGACGACATATCCTTAAGCATATTGCAGACAAAATTAGTTCATACTAACAATAACCAAAACAAAACAGTTTGGGATTGTTATAAGGAAATCCCAAAAAGAGCAACCACAATCTACAATAAACCTACTAATCTGGAATCCGAGATAGAGAATTATTTAAATCAGGGACTCATTCAAATAAACGAGCTTCCAATAAGATGGTGGAAAAATAATCGTCAAATGTACCCTATTTTGGCATCAATGTCAAAGAAATTTTTAATTGCACCTGGAAGTTCTATATATTCAGAAAAGTTGTTTTCGGAGGCAGGAAACATATTTGAAAAGAAAAGGAATAGACTACTATCCCTAAATGGTGAGAGACTGATATTCCTGCACCACAACATCCCCTTAGTGGAGACTTTGACTATTAAAAAATTGAGTTTTTGTTTTATACAAAATGTTTATTTTTTTAAAGAGTGGATTTGATAGATATATTTTATTTGTTATAGATACGAATATTATTTTAATTTTTTAAGTAAATATCCAGTTGTATTACTGATCCTAGTCTTGTTTATTTATATATATTTCCTTATCTTTCCTTAAAGTATACATTTTAATACCCGGTACCCGGCAACTAAAATCCTGTACCCGGTAACTGATACCCGGTCACTAAAAATTCCCCAAAAACCCGGTACTAACCGGGTACCCGGTGCATCTCTAATTTTAAGTATTCTTGTATTCTTTTTTTTCAATTTCTTTGTATTTAACAACAAACTAGGTCAGTAATTACAAATTCTTATTTTATAGGAATTTGCTTTCAATGTTGGAGTTGAAATAAAATTAAAGCGAATAACTCAGAGACAGAAAAATCGGCCCAATCCAGATATCGATTTTGACTCTACATCAATTTCTAATTATTTTCGAATTACGATTTATTTACCGTTTTTAGATTTTTTTATAAANACTGAAAAATTTAACAATGGACGAGTGGAATATTATTCAAGATATGTTAAAGATATTGGCCCCCTTCGAACAAATTACTAAGCAAATAAGTTCAAATCAATCCCTCATTTCTGAAGTATTGCCGTGCTTACGGATTATTAAGAAATATTTAGATGATTTACAATTAGAGATTTCTAATCTGTATGTAGTTAATTTAAAGGAACGATTACTAGAAAATCTGAATAATCGCTTCAAGGGCTATGAAGAAAATAAACATTTTTTTGTAAGCACATTTCTTGATCCAAGATATAAAATAAATTTTTTTGAGGAAGATCAAATAAGTGGAATCAGATCTAAAATATTGGAAATAGGAAAGTGCTTTATAGAAGATTACGAAGAACCAATGCAGGTTATTGAAACGACTGGAAATAGTTATGAAGTAATAGACGACAATAGCAATTAAGCAACCACAATCTACAATAAACCTACTAATCGGCCCAATCCAGATATCGATTTTGACTCTACAACATCAATTTCTAATTATTTTCGAATTACGATTTATTTACCGTTTTTAGATTTTTTATAAATCAATTAAAAGAAAGATTTAGCAATCATAAAGAAATTTTTAATGGATTTGTTGGCTTGTTTTCGCTACCTCATACTGATTCTAATGATAATCAGTCCGATAACTTACTGAATTTATACCTGCCTGACATTCCACAAGAAAATATAAAAATTGAAATAAAAATCTGGCACAAATATTTAAAAATTTCTAAAGACATAAAAACCAAACGTCAGGCGTTAGCATGTTTAGAAGCTTGTAGTGAGAAGGCCTACCCAAATGTGTACAAGCTTCTAAAAATATTTTGTACACTTCCAGTAACTACTGCGACACCAGAAAGGACCTTTTCTACTTTGAAACGTATTAAAACTTATTTGCGGAACTCAACAGGTCAAGTCCGATTGAATGGACTGGCTATGTTGTCGATCCATAGAGATCAACATCTTTCTACAGAAGAGGTACTGGATAATTTTGCACAAAAACCGAGGCGTTTAGCTCTCAATTTGTAATTTTTTAAATTCAAATATATATACATACACATATTTCAATAATAGTTTTTTATATCCCCCCCAAGGGTCAAGTCTGGATACGCCACTGCAGCTACCAGCTACTGCAGCTAATAATGGCTAATGAAAGCCATTATTCCCGAGAAAGGTCTGCTAAGAAGTATCTTGGAGATGGCTTAAATATTTCAAAAATGTATGGGTTATATTCCGAAAAAATTAGGAAGGAAGGTGAAGAACCAGCTAAGAAATGACTTTTTAGAAAAATCTTCAACGAAATGTTTAATTTGTTGTTCCATTTACCAGACAACGACACATGTGGTATGTGTGATTATTTTAATGTAAAGCTTAAGGCTGATCTTAGCGCAGAAAAAGAAACAAACCATTTGCTTGTTTTAAAACGTAACGAACAATTACAAGTGGTAATGGCCAATCTTCAAAAGTGCCTTCCTACTCCCTTTTTGACCAAGTTGTGCACCCTAAATTACGCAATACATAATCCTTATACTAAAAACACTTGGTATATGATGTGGGATGAAACCAAAGCTGGAAGCGGTGTAATGAAATGGCTTCCTGTTTTCTTAAATGGCTACTGAAATCCCAAGGAATCAAAAAATGGAAACATTAACGCTTTGGACTGACAACTATGCCAGACAAAACCGAAATATGATGATGATTGTAAGTACATGCAATGCAAGTATTCACGTTATAAATGCTAAGTTTTTATTACAAGGCCACACTCATATGGAAGTAGATTGTCAGCATAGCGTTATTGAATGTGCAAAAAAGAAAACTAAACCATTTACAATTTTTACTTGCAATGATTGGATTAATTTTATTCGTAATTGTAAACAACCCCCATTTAATGTATTCTCTATGAGTCTAGAGGATTTTAAAAATTTTAGTACTTTTTACTCATCATTAACAGCACCATTCATATCAAGAAAAAAAAGTAATGAAGGAAAACTGTTTAAATTATCCAGCGTTGTTTGGCTTCAAATTCGACGAGATACATTAGGTACTTTGTCTTTTAAAACATCATTTAAAGAAGACTTTCGCTCCATTAATTTATAATATATGTACAAAGCCAAATATCTTTTAAAAAAAGAAAATCTTTTAACCCTTCTTAAGTGGGTTCCTAAAGAGGCCTGAGAATTTCCTAATGATGATTAATAAATTATAAGGTTTTTATGTTTCAAATTTATTCTAGAAAAAATTATAAGCTTGCTTATTTTTTGTAGTTCATATTATTACAAATTCTTTTGTTTCAAGTCCAAATAATCGTTTAATTTTTTAGAGCCAAAATGTAATAAATCCAATAAATTGGTAAAAATAAAGATTTTTGATAAAAATATGCTTTTAATGAATATTTACTGACTATTAATATTAAAAAACACTAACATTAACAAATAAAAGATCACAGCGCACACTTTTCTTAATTAATTTATGAACAAATTTGACAAAAAGAATTAAACTATTACCTGTTGAACTGAGGAATTGTCTTCAAAAGTTAGACTACAGGAAAACCATAGTTGGTGTCATTATATTGTTAATCCAAATTAACTTTCTTGAAGGTGGTTTGTTATTGCAGTGCACAACCAAGACAAATTGATACTATCTGTACTTTTAGAGGTTTGGCATCACCTAAAATACGCAAAAAAATATTAGATAAAAAAACATATCTTACATCTTGTACATATAAATGTTTGATTGTAATTAGAAGTAAATGTCCTCAAAGTACCTATTTTTTATCTATCACAACGATAAATTTAGAGGGACACACAATTTATGAATACATTGCATCATATTATTATCGTTTATAAATTATACAACTGCAATTCAAGCTGAGCATGCCTGACGATGATATTACGCGAACTAATAAATAAAGTCGCATTACAGATTATGCAATTTCATTGAAATTTTATCTCTGCATGTTGGTCTGTGATTATGATGCCAAGCAATTCAATTATTATGAATTGTAAGGAAGTCACATAGTTTAATGCCGAAAATCAAAAAGTTTTAAAAATATTATAGTCTGTAAAGTATTTAAATTTTTTTAGATATTTTTTCAAATAGCAATCGGATTAATGATAAATATCAAATAAATCATTAAAATTAAGCTAAATGTTCAAATAGTGTACCTTGGGCAGCTCTTACACGATTTTTAAATTCTTCTTGACAATTAATTCCCTAAGATATCAAAAATTATTCGCTGAACTTTTCGGATTCTGATTTTGTGTTCATCCAAAATATTTGGTCCAATGGTGTAAAGGTTTCTCTTCAGATATCTCTAAAGGAAGAAGTCCGGCACATAGTCAAATCTGATGATATTGCAGCCCACTCAATTGGCTCTCTTCCCCCACAATCCATCGATTGAGAAATAATTGATTGAAATAAGCTCAAACAGGAACGGCATAGTGTGGTGTGGAGTGCCATTTTGTTGGAGAAATCACTGCCGCTGGAATTGAATTTAATGAATTTATTTATTTATTTGGAATGCAAACAGGATTAATTCCAAAGTAGTATACACGAAAAATAACTAAAATAAACTTAAAAAAAGGAGATATAATAAAGCATACATCAATTAATTGAGATCTGCCTGAAAACAACTTTCTAAGCCGATGTTTGAGGGACCACAACCAAAATGTAAATGGAAGTTTCACCTGGACGGTTTGGGCGTTGACCTCATCCTACTTGCCAGTCTAAAACTAAATTCTACTTTCGTTGCTTCTACTTTTAAAAATAATGAATTCATTAAATATTGTTATTCAAAATAATGAAACTTCATTTTATGAACAAACAGAAATTTTATGAAATAGTCCTAAAATTGCAGTCTAACTAATGAGATATCAACAAAAATGAAGTATTTTTACACAGTAGTAAATGTTACAGAAGAAATTCTTTTCATCGTCTTGAATTTTTTCGTAAAAGTTATAAATATGGGTGTGTAGTGTGTATGGAGACTTTATTAAGGAGGCAGTTTATAATAACTTGCGAGTTCTGCGACGAAGTATGTAAAATAATGCAACAAAAGTCGTAGTTGCACCACGGTGAGAGCTGTTTATAACCTGTTTGAAAGTAAATGACTCCTATCGAAACCTTGGATTAGCCGATTCAACGTTGTAGTTTAACACAAGCGTCTCAATACTCTCAACGCCAAGGAATGTAAAAAACAAATATAAATAGACTTTTATAAAAAAATTTAAGTAAAAATAATATAATGTTGGATTTAGAAAATCATTCGAAGAACGTTATAAGCAATTTATAAACATTCGTTAGTTAAGAATTTGTTATTTACACGATACTAGTACAAAATTCAATTTAATTTAACATGGATATATTTATAACAAGAGAACCTGTCAATCAATTTTGATGAAAACTATCTCATTTCAACCAAAATGCGTTCCCAAAACGGGAACATTATTTAAATTAAGTGTACATCTCTTATTAAACCTTGAAGACAAAACGAAATTACCATAAAATGGTTTTGATGGAAATAGGTGTTCAAAATGTTTGCCATTAACTGCAAGGCAGTGGCCCAATCTATCATAATAAGCTTAAAAAGAATTTCTGAGAGATCTGGGAGAAATTGCTGCAGCTTCATGCTGTATTGGTTGCTCTAATTCGGCCAGATTCTGAGGTCCGTTTGTATTTTGTATACACTTTTGATTTTAAATAGCCCTAGAACAGGAAATTGCAAGGTATAAGATCCGAGATCTTGGACCAGCCTCTGGCAGATCTTTAACATTACCAGTTTCCCTAAACTGTTTCAAAGTTTTACTAACTACTGACTGGGTGATTGATTCACAATGTAGATAGCACTCATTAAAAATTTCACATCTAATTGTGAATTCGTCATAAAAAAATCTCATTGTTGTGCAGGTCAAAGGAATGAGCAAAATTTTGTGAAACAAACATTCCAATTAAATAAATCATAATGTAAGTGTCAATCGTACTCTTGGGCTAGTTATCAAATTTCATTACTTATCGCTAAATCGGGGGAAAATCATGCTATAGGGAAGAATATAATCAATATCAGGCATTTCTCAAAACGGTTATGGAAAATGATGATAAAGATGTTAAAGCTATGCCACTAAGTAACAATACTGTTAGCAGAAGAATAGACGAAATGATTGGAAATATTGAAATGCAACTTATTGAAAAGCTGAAAACAAGAATATTTTTTCCTGCAAATGGTTGACTTATGTAAGATATATTGATAAAGGTAATTTTCCTGAAGAAATGTTGTTCTGCAAATCATTAGAAAACACCACTCATGTCAGCAACATTCCAATAAATATAACATCTTGTGTTGCAGATGGTGCTCCTAATATGATTGGGAAGAAAAATGGTTGTCTAAAATTGATTAAAGATGAAAATCCAGAAATGTTCATTGTGTTATTTAAAGGGAAAACTTGGTAGCTAAAAACATTTCGCCTGTTTTTAATCGAGTATTAAATTCAGTTATAAAGTGTATCAACGCTATTAAATCTAGTGCCAAACGTGAACGCCTCTTCAAATTATTTTGTGAAGAATAAAATGAACACTATATGATACTTATACTTCACACTGAAATAAGATGGCTCTCGAAAGGGAACTGCTTGAAGAGATTTATAGATGTGTTTGATACCCTTAGTTACCTAGCCGATATTTTTGAAACATGAAATGTTTTAAATAAAAAACTCCAAGGAACAAATAATACTCTTGTCGATGCAAAGGCCAAGATATTTTGTTTCATTACATTTATTGAACTATTGTGTTAGATACACAAATTTACAACAAAAATGTTGAAAATTTTCATTGGTTCAAAAAATGTGGTGCGACTGATACCTGTATATATTTTATTGTCGATCATTTGAAAATTTTATCGGCGGATTTAAAAGAAAGGTTTTCAGATTTAAAACAAATTCATTTTCCAAGCTGGATGATGCAACTAATGTTGATAGATTTGCTTGCAGAAAGTCCCAGAACTCGCAGAAGTGCAGAATGGTCAGTCAATTAAAACTTTATTTAATATAATAATAATAATTTGAATTTAGTGCCATAAATGCTTTGTTGCTAAAAAACAGAAATCGGTTGGATATAATAAAGCAAGGAAACTTGAGACTAAAACTTATTAAGTTTCTTTAGTAAAAAATTCAATTTTTGAATAATAAAAATTATATATGTTGGGGAGCCTAGCAATTTTTAAAGATTTAGTTGGGGCAAGGCACAATATAGGATGGGAAACACTGCATTAAATGAACCATTTTTATTTTTGATCTATCAACTAATTTAAATAAACAAGATTCTGTCACATTTAATAGCCTACATTGTTAAGACTAATAAAAGAGATCTAGGATATCTAGATTCATGTTATAGATAAATTTAATTTACCTAATTCCACTATGAAAATTAAATTTTACATGTCTTTCTTATGTAATGAATTCCATTGCTTAACTACAAATTGATAAATTGACATCTGTCACTAATAGAATAAGTTTTGAACAAAAATTGCTTTTTCAATAAAATTAGATAAAATTTTGTACTTAACACGTTATGAAACGGGTAATTTTATTTGACGAACGTAATATTTGAACGTAATATTTGTGCGCTAAATAAAGATTATTATTATTAATTACTATAATCGATATTTAGGCGACAATGCTATTCTTGAAATAAGCCTTTTTTTATTAATTTTATTTTAATTATCATAAAATAATAAAATTTTCTATTCATTATAAATTTTTTATAAAAATTCTTACCTCCATGCCAATAACTTGTTCTTAATCACCTTCGAAATGGAGAATTGAAAATCTGCCTTCTTTTGTGTTTATTCGATGATAATTCATAACCAATAAATATATAAACATTTCTACAACGTTGTTTTTGGAAAAACTGTTATCACTACAAAACAAGCTTCTTTGAGACCAACCGTACTCTAAATCAGTACTCTGAATGTCTTTGAATGGAATGGAATGGAAAGTAGAATGCGTCTAGATAAAAGGTACGTGTATTGCGAGGTCAACGAAAGAGCTCATGCGTCACTGAAACGACATCTGGGGCAGGCATAGTTTTGTTTCCCATTAATAGATGGCACGATTTATTATTAATTTTTATTTATTTTTTAAAAGCAGTATTTAATCACAGAGATAATTAAAATAATTAGAATGTTAATCATAAAAAATTACTAAACTTTGCCATAAAAATGACTTCGTATAATGCGATTTATGTGTAAATTATACACTTAAGGTCGCCGTTCAATCACGTGATGTTCGCAAAAGTGCAAAAAAAATTTGTATAGTTCCGCTGTTGGTTAAAAGAGGTCGTCCTGAGCTCAATTCAGTTATTCATAGCGACGCTTTTTTATATCAGCTTACAATTAGTCATCCTACTGTTGAATGATTTTATTCGTTGGAGAATATTCCGGTGTAGTCTTACGTGATTCCTATTCTCGATATTATTTGGTGTTTTTTTCGTGTTTTTTTGGTGTTCGAATGCCTTTTGGTTTGCGAAATGCCGCACAAATATTTGAGAGATTTATCAATGAAGTTCTTACTGGCCTAACTTTCCACCAGCGGCTTTGTTCTCTAAAAAGATGACCAATGGTCAAATGAAATATTCCACATTCGATAGAGAACTGCTAGCTATATATCTAGCAGTTAAACATTCTACCTCTAATAAACGCATTGTTTTCAAACATTGAAAAAACCCCAAAACAAACTCGATATATCAACTATATAGTTGAAGTTACCTCCGAGATATTATATATCAAAGGCAAATTCAACACAGTCCCGGATGCAGAGTTGACATCAATACCTTAACTTCTGACTATCCCTAGGCACCTAGAACCCCCCTGACAATAATAGGAAACGCACAAAATTTAGATAAAGAACTAAAATTTCTACTTCAAAAACAAAATCTAAATTTAAACAAAACTTTCCATTTATCTAAGATTAGATCATAGATCATTAGATCACCTCTAACTTAGATCTTTGGTACGAGAATTCTTTTACACGTCCTAGATTATATACCTATGAAATTCCGAAATATCATTTTCGACAAATTTCATTTTCTAACACATTTAGGTTTCAAAACCACCTTAAATAATATCAAAAATCGTTTCTTTTGGCCACATTTAACCAAGCAAGTAAAATCATGGTGTAAAACTTGCATACCTTGCCAGAAAACTAAAATCCAAGATACACAAAATCTTGAGGTTTGAAGGCCCTTTTAAAGTTATTAAACGCTTTCAAAAAAACTTTATTATTTTAACTAGTCTACAAAAAAAAACATAAAATGTACATTTGACGCCACTGTATTTTTCTTATGTAGTTTGGTTCCCTAAACCCAAAAATCACATTTAAAATTTTTTCTATGGATACGTTTTGGAGATATGATTTTTTTTAGGGGTAATTTGATTATTTGCAGCAAATCTCGAGTTAGAGATGACCGAGCTGGTCGTGCTATTCATCAAACTAAAGAGTATTGTATAGCCAATAAATGGAATTAATACTTATTCCAATCGGTTTGGTAGTTTTAAAACAATGTGAAAAGGGATTTTTTTAGATGAAATGTGAACCAAAAATTCATTCGATATCCTTGAAGACTCCGTAAAGTTTGCTCTTTTAATAAGACAACAAGGTACGCAGGATGATGGACTATGGAGAAATTACTAAAAATTATGATCTTCTATATGTAAGAGCACAGCTTTTTCCTGTACAGGGTGTCCCAATTTCGTTGTACGCATAGGCTATCTCCAAAACTAAAAGAGATAGAAAAAAAGTAGCTTACATGTCGTGATCTCGTTTTTCGAGAAAATGCTAATGCCGAAAACTAGAGATGCACCGGGTACCCGGTTAGTACCCGGTTCGCCGGGTTTTTGGGGAATTTTTAGTGACCGGGTATCAGTTACCGGGTACAGGATTTTAGTTGCCGGGTACCGGGTATTAAAATGTATACTTAAGGAAAGATAAGGAAATATATATAAATAAACAAGAGTAGGATCAGTAATACAACTGGATATTTACTTAAAAAATTAAAATAATATTCATATCTACAACGAATAAAATATACACATCAAAATTACACATTTTGCGTGTAATGCACTATCACTCACCAAAGAGAAAAAATCCCACACCTTACTTTTCTTACAAGACATGATGCTTGTAAGTTGCAACTACCCACGACATAAATAGGTTAAAGTAAGGTTATGTTATGTATGACCGGGTACCCGGTTTGTACCCGGTACCCGGCAATGTCAAGAATTGGTACCCGGTGCATCTCTACCGAAAACTGCGAACAGCTATCGTCTTTTGTTTTCGCCCTACCGGCAAAAATTAAAAATTTTGCAAAAACGACAATCACGAATATCTCACTTATTATCAAAGATGGAGTATTATAAATAAAACATTATATGGGCAACTTTTTACGAAGAATTCAGTGAACTTTCTTTTTGTAAATGGAAACCATAGTTGGGTATGAGCTAAAATAAATTGTCATTTTCCTCTGATAACAAATATATATAGTTTGTTGGGTATATTTCTTATAGCTATTGAATAATTAACAAAAATTCTTTTTGTTCTATCTGAAACTAATGTATGTATTTAAAAGTTAATGTTGCTATAGTGATAACCATACATACTATGATGGAAAATAATGTATCAGATAATTACCAAAGTTCGTATTTAAAAATTCGCTAACAAATCTGGTATTATGTGCTGGAATGTATAACAAAACTGAATAAAACTTTATAATGAATTTCGAAAATTATGAAAAATGTAACATGATGGAATGCTATATGTTATCAGATAAGAATGCGACGTTAGCTGCGGAATTATATTTCTCAAGGTATCCGAGCTGTGCTCTCACATATAGAAGATCATAATTTTTGGTAATTTTTCCACCGATTCTCATCCTGCGTATCTTGTTGTCTTCTAAANTAAATATTATTTTCGTTATTGTTATAGATTTTAACTCGTTTTCGTACTAATATTAAGGGATCTAACAGATAATTATTAGCTCACATGCATCAAGTGACGTAAACAAGCGAGTCTTTGACAAAAACTCATTGACAAGGCTTGTTTTCCATGGCACACTAGGCTAAATATCCATATGATAGGTGTGCATTTTTCAAAAAACTCTAATTATCTCCCAAACTATTAATGTTAGGCATGGGACATACCTGGGATATAAAAGCTGTAGAATGAGACACCGAAGACGACTAAATAATAAAATATGGGGGGTACCATTTAAAAAAATGAAGTTATGGTACTTCCAAATTTTGAAAAGTTAACGTGCCATAGTAGAGTGACCAAACGTTCTAGACAGCCATTCTCCGCAGCAAAACATATTCCATCATGTTGCTTAAGCATATTCTGAATCCTAAATTGATATCCCAAAAATCCAGTGTTCTCTGATTTTTTTGAACAAATGTCTGCGGGAGCAGATTTTTCTAGAAAAATTCGAATAACTCGAGAACGGCGGAATCAAATTGTAAAAAGTAAAGTTATTTATAAACCTTGAGAACAGATAAATCCAAATATGTAAAAATATACAGGCTGCTCCATTTAAAAAAATTAAGTAGGTGGCGACTTCCGGTATAACCGGAAGTGCTAAAAATCTGAAAAGATTTTAGTCGAAGAGAACGCAATTGATAATACTGAAGTCTGAATTCGCAAATTTTTATTTTGGCTAGAACCCGAACCAGCCTGTATATTTTCATTTGAATTTATGTTATACATTCGTATATGTGCAGTTCATAGAACCAGCTACACAGTATTGCCAACTCTACTAACTTTTCGGTAGCTCTACCAACTTTTAGTGTCTTGCTCAAATTGACTACCTTGTAAGAAATATCTAACAACTTTTTAAGATCTTAAAAAAAAGTCTTTTTTTTACCATTTGCTGTGTTTTTAACCCTTTTATGATAAGCGAATCTAGTAGCGTTGTAGATAATAAAGAAAGTTACAGGTTTCTGCAATCTCTACCGACTTAACCTAACAAAAGCTGTCATTAAGGTCGCCGTTCAATCACGTGATGTTCGCAAAAGTGCAAAAAAAATTTGTATAGTTCCGCTGTTGGTTAAAAGAGGTCGTCCTGAGCTCAATTCAGTTAAATTCAGTTATTCATAGCGACGCTTTTTTATATCAGCTTACAATTAGTCATCCTACCGTTGAATGATTTTATTCGTTGGAGAATATATTCCGGTGTAGTCTTACGCGATTCCTATTCTCGATATTATTTGGTGTTTTTTTCGTGTTTTTTTGGTGTTCGAATGCCTTTTGGTTTGCGAAATCTTGAGGTTTGAAGGCCCTTTTAAAGTTATTAAACGCTTTCAAAAAAACTTTATTATTTTAACTAGTCTACAAAAAAAAACATAAAATGTACATTTGACGCCACTGTATTTTTCTTATGTAGTTTGGTTCCCTAAACCCAAAAATCACATTTAAAATTTTTTCTATGGATACGTTTTGGAGCTATGAATTTTTTTTTTTTTTAGAGGTACTTTGACTATTTGCAGCATATCTCGAGTTAGAGATGACCGATGTGGTGGTGCTATTCATCAAATTAAAGAGTATTGTATAGCCAATAAATGGTATTAATGCTTATTCCAATCGGTTCGGTAGTTTTAAACTAATGGCCCATAATATGTGAAAAAAGAATTTTTTTTAGACAAAATGTGAACCAAAAATTCATTCAATATCCGTGTAGAGTCGCAGAAAAATTCTTTTTTACTTTCTATGTAAAGTTTGCTCTTTTTAGAAGACAATAAGGTACACAGGATGAGAATCGGTGGAGAAATTACCAAAAATTATGATCTTCTATATGTGAGAGCACAGCTTTTTCTTGTACAAAAAATTCCGCGCAAGTGCAATACACATACATCA